TATGTGAGTTGAAGTCCACTCATCTTAAAGTGGCCAAGTTTGGACAACACTGCTTTAAATGAAACCAAAAATCTGAGGGGCATTATTTCCAGAGCTGTGTCAGTCTAAGTGTAGTTAAAGTAGTAAATATACTTCTGTTTGTTGGATAGCTTTTTAAAAATAATTTCAAAGTACATTTGATTCTTTCACCATTTTGTGGTGTATTCAATGATGGCAACGTACAATCTCTATAATGGGACTAATACCTGAACAGGGTTCTTTCCTGCTGTGTTCTTTAGCAATCCTGTTATATCTTGCAACTTCCTAATATTTGGTATAAATTCTGTCTTAAATGGCTGAGCAGATATGCTAAATGAATTATTCTGGTAGGCACAAATACAATGTGTATGGATTTTTAATTTCACAGATGTAAGAGATTGTTTGTGATTTGTAACTTATGCTACTTGTTGACAAATGCTTTACATTGTTACTTTTTAGTAGAAGAAACAATTCATTTTAGATATAATGCAGAATACCTATAAATGTAGCTCCTTTGACAGGATTGTGGTAGGGAATTCTGAGAGTTCAATTTTAATAAAGTAGAGGATGTATATTGGCAAAAGCTAATTTAGAGCATTGCTCAAGAATTTGTATTATATGACTAGGAAAGAGTATTGAAAATACTGACTCTGAGGTCCTGGAACTTCTTCCTCTGAGCATATACCATTTATTTCCTTTTTCATAAGTCTTTGGAGCTGTTATCTTTTCACTGTATAGTCTATTTAATATTTTTTTCTTACAATGTACATGTAACAGCATTTAGCTTATTGATACTTTTGCATTACTTGTACAATTGTCAGAACAACTGTGTTATAATCTTGTGATGAATTTATTAGAGTGTCCAAAATAAAATTGTATCTTTTTATAAAAATAAAAGCCATTATATAAAATGTAACAAATGCTGATTTGGAAAATGATGTCTTTGGACAAAATATAGTATGTCTGTTATAAAAGCACATTGTACAAATTACAAACATACCACAAAAGGCTGCTTTAGTGCTTGGAACCAGTTTTACAAGAAAATAGTAAGTTTGCAAGATAGGCATACTTTGAAATGAAGTGATATCCCTTCTGAGTTTAAAAAAATGTGTAGGATTGGAATGAATATTATCTTGCCTCAAATATAAAAATGCATTTACTATACATAAATCTAGGTTCTGCTAAGTAAGAATACAACTCTGACACGTATGGAGAAAGTAATCACCATCAGGAGCATTCCGTATTCAAGTAACCATGGCAAAACCAGAGTCAAACCTTACTGCAGTGTGAAAGGAAGAAGCGTACATATGCTTATCTTCTTTTTTAAAGGATTGCTTTTACAAGATCTCTGTTAGAATAAAGCCAGGAGGTTGGTTTTCTTAGATTTGTGTTAGGCTTTTTGGTATAGAGTATGAAAAATTTTTGTTCCCTAAATTGAAAAAAAAAGATTAACAGTCAATTTAGAGTAATTCGACCAAGGTGTGAGTTTAGGACCGGGAAAGTAAGGTTCAATTCCAGAGTCAAGGGCGGAAGCTTATAGTCTTAACCTAAACTTATCTAGTATATCTCAATTTAACTTTACTTTTATAGGATCGTTAGGGGTAATAAAATTGGAAAAGGCAGGACTATATATGCAACCTCAATTGTTATACACAAGGTGGGATATAAATCTTTTAATTATGGGGATAATTCCCATTCTCAAGCACTAGTAGGTAAATTAATAATTATATTAAGGTAAAGCTTCCTTCAAGTTGAGCTCAGCTGTTGATTATTTCATAGACATATTAGTAATTTTCTTGGTAGCAATATGGAAATGGTTTGCCATTGCCTTCTTCCAGATTATTTTGATTTACCAGTCTAAACTATAGCCTTGAAGTCTCCCAACTACCAAGGCCAAATCCTGCTTAGTTTCTGCCCATACAAGGTCATTCAGGTGATCCTACTTGCTGAAACTAATAACTACATTACTAGTAGTTTATTACTACATTACTTTAAAAAAACCCACTTTGAACAAGACCCATAGACTATAAAAATCTTTGGCATAGTTCTGTCAGTATCTTCATGTTTGTAATCTTGCCTTAGTTAGATCTTTCAGTGTATTTTCTCTTGTATCAGCTTAGGGAATCTCCATGAAAATAGTTCTATATTTACAAACTTCAGTGTCTGATGCAGTGATGTTGGACCAGGGGTGGAGAGACCCAGGTTCATTGTCAGTCATAGAAATTCATTGGGTCACTTAGCCTAACCTACCTCACAATGTTGTTCTGGGGATAAAATGAAGGATTTCCATGTAAGCTGCCTTGAGTTCTTAGAGGAAAGGCAAGAAAATAATTCTAACAAATAATTGTATGCAGTTGGTATTAATAAATTCATAGGCTGGGTTTCCAGAGCGCCTATATATGTGTCAATACATGCTATCACCTGTAATGCTCTTCGTAACACTTTCTGTTAAATTTGGAATCAAGTCTGCACAATCCTACTTTCTATATAAATTCAGCTACAGAATATATAATGGTACATAGCTGCAAAATAATTCTTGAATCAAGATCCTTAGAGTGAAGTGATGGCATTTCTTTCTTTTTTACAGCTTTTGGCATCAACTCTTAGGGATAAATGTTTGCAGATGTCAGAATATTGATTGCAGAAAATCTTGAAACCCACAAATCCCTGGGGCCTAGGTCTTAGTAATTTCTGCTGTTTATGTAATTTCAGCACAGCACGTCACTGAGAAGTTATTTATCTAAGGGAACTGTGGCCAAATTTGCTAGGCAAAGCTGCTGCAATGCTTATAGAGGTATTGCTTCCTCCAACGTTCTTTTGTGCTATGGTCATCCTGAAATATCAGTTAACACCAAGCAAAAAAATCGATTTTCTGTCAGACTTAAGGTTTTATGAAGATGAGTGGAATGACCTTTCCTTTTGACAGAAGTGGTACCAATTCAGCTGGCCAAATGTTCCACATTGCCATGTTTAATCTACTTGAATAATTTAGTCTTGGCTATTTCAAACATCAGGACTCCTTCATTAGGAAATTAAGTCCTTTTTCATCTGTTCTGAACAAAACAGAATTCTTGGTATGAACAGCAAAAACATGAACTGGTTTAACTTTTCCTTGCTCTTCATTCCTAGAGTACCGCCCAAACCTAGTACTCTCCACGTCTGTTTACACCTTCTCCTGAGCATACATTCATAGTGCTTGCACTATTTCAGATAGAGATGCAACTTATTTTCCCCATGTTCATACCATCTTGATTTGCAGCCAGATATTAGAGTCCTCCTTAATTTGGGATGCAAATCAAATGTATAGCTGTACTTGGGTCAAGGAATATATGCACAATTGTGTGAATTGATCGACACGTGCTTGTCATATGGAACCATATAAAGTCTACCTCCCTGTAGGGTGCCTGGGTCCCTACATTTTTAGCTCAGAGGAGCTGCCATAAGAAATTCTATGGAGCAGTTAAAGAGGAACATTTAGGACAAAAAAGTGATAGAGGAGTGAATAAAAACTAATAGCTACAGAACAGCATAAAGAAGAGAATTGTATTCAAATACCTTCTCACAATATTCATCCTACAACAGGTCTGAGGCCAGAATGTGCCTGAATTAAACTTAGAGTTTGTCTCCCAACTCGGGTATGTAAGAGCAGAGATGAAATGCTCGGTAGTGAATATCTGATTTACTGGCCTCCATCCCTCTTTTATTTATTTATATTGCCTTGCAAATTATTATAAAGCATGTATTATCTGAATTGTTCACATTAAACTCTTCCTTCTTTCCCTCTCATTAAATAAATTTTGTCAACAGAGATTTTGTCTTTCAATATTGTTCTATTTAACTGTCCACATTACATAGGTTTTGCTGTCTGAAATTATGGACTAATTCGATTTTCACAGAGTGTTGGGCTTGCTGTGATTCTCCTGGATGGCATTTATTCAGCTTGGGGAAAAAGGCGTTGAACTTGATCCCAGCTGACCTCACCTCTTAGTTCAATACTGGATTTCACTAGTTCCTCCAAAAGCCAATTTGGACTTGTAGTATTGCATTTTTGATCCTGAGTTTCACACTGACCAGAGTACTGCTCCCCCACTGTTACATGGATTAACTTTCACCCCAGCAAATTACCTAACAAGCATTCTGAGTGTATAAAGCTTTCTATTTGGCATGATTTAACACCTTGGCTTCCATGCTTTCAGAGGAAGATACAATACTATCTTAATCTAAGACTGATTATGCCTTTGACAACTGGGGGACGGGGGGGGGCACTGTGTCCATTATCTATGTAATATTGTGCTGCCTTTTTATATAGCTTGATGCCTAGCCTTAATAACCCCCTATTATCAACCTGCTTTGGTTGGTCTGATGATGTGAAAATTCACATTTTGCCCAAGTATTTTGTGAAACATTTACAAAGATAGCCAAGTTTTAGGCAATTGCTATTGCCATTAGACTAATAGTTTAGAAGTTTAAATTATTATATAACAAACATCTTACATGCTTATTTTCCTCAAACTATGGATAAAAGCATATCAATTTACTCCTGGGTCTATTTCATTTTCCTTTTGTTGTTTTTATTCTATTTTGTTCTATTTTATTATTTATTCTTCTAATCATTTTATTTCTTCAGGAAGTGCACCTTCCTTGTTATTTGGCCTTAGAATGTAAATAAAGTTACTACTACAACATTGTGATACTAGGATGGCTTAGGTAGAA